CGTGTTTTAATAGTTGTAAGGCCGGCCATGCGGTGAACACCTTGAAACAACCAGTTGAACGTCACGAAGAGACAACCAGATGGTGGATGAAGACATAAATAGAGGGGAAGTGTAAGTTGCGCAGCCTTTGAAATGCTTCCTGTTCGGTAGGTTGAACTTCTACTTCCATTTGCTGGACGAAGTACCCACTGAGGGGATCGCTGGCAGATCTTGCCTCCTTCCTTCAAGGTTCTTTCTTCAAAGAATAACAAATGAAAAGTGCTTATTTGGTATGCTTTGACAATAAGGATTTCATTTGCCTTCTCACTTTGGTCTAAACATTTTCTTCGGGAGTTACACGAAAGCGAAAACTTTGATGTGCTGTCCTAAGGTGTCACTTGTTGATTTCATTCGGCTTGTCACTTAAAGGATCAAGCTAAATGAATGCCCTTGTCTTTCGCCATGGAGGAATACTGTTCCCTCATCTACCTGTGAACCCTCATGTCATGAGGTGTTAGTTGAGTCTGCTGCCCGTCTGCTGACAAAGTCATCTAAGTTTGTCTCCGCGGCATTGTGGTTAGGCGGACCGTCGGTGTTGGCAATGCAGAAGTAACCGCTCGTCCGTCGTGTCTAAATTGAGTGGTGCGCCAGTATTTCATCTCAGTACATGGGTTTCCCATTCACCAAAAATAGACTGGAAGGTGTAAAAGGTCAATTTTTTGCTCTTTACATCGCCTATTCGGTCACTTATTGACAAGAAATGAGGAAGTTGCTTCTGAGTTGACTTTCTTGTCTAAAGACCAAACAACTTACTTGCGGCCCACCTCACTCACGAAAAGACTGCTTTGAGATTGTGTGGGTGCACAGCAGAATGGATTACGTTCTGCTACGTACACTGGAAGTTGTTACATTAGATCTAGAGCTAGGAGAGAGAGGATTGGAGGGGAGGCGATACTGCGTCTGTCTCATTGATTTTTTTTCACCTTTTCCCAAAGCAGGAATTGTCATCTTCTCTTGGTGCTTTTTAGCAATCAGGATGGATGGCTAACACGTAAAGAGAGAAGTATAAACAGAGGTGAGCTAGACGAGGTCTTTTGTTCTTCCTTTCTAGTTGCTAGCAATATCTATGACTTCTAGGTGGTCATTCTAGCCCCTTAGTTGCAAAACTTTTTATGATTTCCTTTCTTTTGATTATTCTATACCATTTAATGACTAACTTCCTATCTCATTACTCCTTCTGACTATGTTGTTTCCACTTAAGTGGGCATGGTTGATGGAAATAGCCGAAAGAGTGCTAACAAATATTAACTTATCCTTAGTAAGAAAAGTAATTGTCCAGCGCCCTCATTTGGACAATTCTTGTCTTAATTCTACTTAAAAAGTCCAAAGGAACGCACGACTTGGCCAGTGAATGCACCTCTTGATCGTTTTGCTAGTGGGGGATAAAAACGGGGGCTAAACAGTTGCTTCTAAATTATTTGAGCTATTCGTTGCTCTTCCACAGCCAAGTCGTAGCAGTAAATGATTAACTAAGGGGACAAGCTCGGTTAGCTAACATGTTCAGAGTGTTCTGCAATGCTTGATGTTCGTGAAGGGAGCTAAATTTCTCAACTGTATTCCACAGAGCAAACAAGCTAAAAAATAATGCCTAATTGCAGCTTTGCATATCTAAATTGCATTTACTCTTCCCTTCATCTTTCCAAGAAGACATAGACAAGTGCTATTTTAATGAATGTTCCATCAAGTGGTTTTGTCCTGTTCATCCACTGCCACTGATGTCCTTTTCTCGAAAATGAATTACATTTCCTTCTTTTCTCTAATCACTTTGTTAATTATATCCGTTGCATCCAATTTGGCTAAAATGTACGTGACTTGGCATTACATTCACTGTATTCTTCTTCATCGTCCACGTGCTGTAGACTTCTTCTTTAGAAAATGTCTAGGCCATCTTAATCCAATCGTGCCATTCAAGACGTTTCACTTGAGCACTTAATGTGCTGCAAAGAGCACTTTTTGGGGTGGAAGTGTGTCTCATCAGCTGTAACGCCCCTCTTATTCCGCCAAACTCTCTGATTTTGTGGATGCACAACCCTTCTTATGATTTCTTAATACTTGTGGAATCAATTATGACCAAAATGCTTTGTCAGTTTTGCAACGTCCTCTTTTATTGCACTTTTATAACAAAGCCTAAAAACACGTACCCTTTAAAAGGAAAACATCTCAAAAGCCATCATTCTTATACATCAAAATTATTTCAAATCATGACTCTGATCCCACCAGGATGGAAACGTAAATTCCTAATCATATTTGTTAGCGAAAATCTTAAGGCATATTTGAAAAGCTGATCATCACTGAAAAATGCTTAAAAAGGCTCTTACAGAACTACGATCTGCAACAATTTCGACATGATGCATATTTGCAGGTGTTTTAGGGATTCAGAACAACTTGATCGCCTGTGTCATTGTCGTCTTCCACTGCATCATCTCCTCTAGCATAGTGGGCGCTGACAGCATCCTCGCCCGCATGGTTGAAGTATTCAGTGATAACTTTGGCAAAGAAGCATCTAAAAAGGAGTTAACACTGTGCAGAGAGGGAGGTCTTTTTCCTCCTTTAATCTTTTTTCCACTCCTTTCTCATTCTCTTCACAGTTATGTGGAACTGTGTATCATGGGCCATGTGTCAACGGCTTGGCAGATTCTCAGCGTCTTTGGTGGTGACTCGCTAGATGTTCGACTGATTGGCTTATAGACAGTAGAGCATTTGGGCAAAAGCTAGAATTTAAAACTTATGTGAGTTATTACTAAGGTAAATTCAAAAAAACAAAGTGTCTGAGATTGCATGTCAAGGTAAAAAGTGTGTTGATAGTGCGTCAAGTCATCCCTGATGATGTCTTATGGCACTTATTCCTAAGGGGGATTTTGCTTTTATGTACGGGGCAAGGGAAGGCGTTAGCCACAAACAAGGCTCCATACGGCCATTCTGGATGCCAAAACCGCCCAGAAGGTAGAGCAGCTAGCGCCGCTTAGTACATAGCTTAAACCGGCCACGTCCTGCTGTTCGTAATCTTACTATCTGTACCTCTGCTGATGTGATAGTGACTCAAGGATTGTGTACGTTTGGATGTCAGGGGATTCCCATGCATAGAAGGGGCTGCATGAATTCATCTTACGGACTCATTCCTCATCCAAACACAAAGAGGTATTGTGGATCAACGCAACAGTCTGCAGTTGTATTTCCATTTCAAATAGGTGGGTGGATAGCAAAATGGTTCAAGACCATTAAGTAGAGCTGACGCCGGTGTGTTCCTACTTCGTTTGTTTCACAATCGGTTTGACAATTATGCTGTAGATCGCCTGGATAAGGTGTGACTTCCTGTAGCAGAATGACAGCCCGTAGGCCTGAACGTCCATCAGTCAGCCATTCACTTCACGCACATTTATTTGATGGTTGGCCGACTTTTGATGGCAGTAGAAGTATTGTATCTTCACCTGGGGTTCGGTGAACCACCACACGCAACATCAGTCAACCCTAAGCAATCAAAGTACAAACTCACCGTCAGAAACATCAATTTATTGCCTGATGGTCAAGACATGTCTCCCTCCTCATGAGTTTGCCTGCTGGAGAGAATCATTCGCTTTCAACTCCACACCTCTTCACTAAGATGTGACAGTATGTCGTGCACTGAAACAGTTTCCTCTTCCACCATTGCAGTCAAGTCTAGTCAGTTAGATGGAAGTCATATTTGACAAGTTTGACACCACCATGATAACTCCATTTGCACTTTTCGTGAGATGGAAGCGATACACCTACCATCAAATTCGACCCATCATCATCACCATAATTCCACTACCTCCGGACACTCATATGATTTCCTACTAAATAGGTCACACAGTGAAGAAGATCACTCTATCAGCCCACTCTACTCACCAGGTTGAAGGTCAGTGAATGCGGAAATAGCAACAATCTCGTTCCACTTTGGCCATAAGTTGAGGATTGATGGCAACTAGGCCTAGCTCCATGGACCAAACGCCATAAGAAGCATTCTGCATCTCGTCCTCAAATAAAAACCCACCTCCATCTGGTCGTCCATTCATTCTTTAGACGATGGGCAATGCATTCTTTGCCTAGACGATCAACGCCGTTTACCGATTCGCCAGCCTCTCTCCAAGCAGACCTCATACCTCAGAAACTAAACTAAACCGAACTAACCTGTACGAAAACATGCACCTGGCCTAAATTGGGAAAGGGGTTGTGAGTGAGACAGAGAAGAGGAAAGGAAGGGAAAAAAGGCAATACTGGCTTAACTTCTACATTTCAGCCATAACGGTTATCATAAACAGGCAGAGAGCACAAGTCGAAGAGTCACATATATGTGACACCAGCCGTAATCATTACAAATATGAACAAAGGAAAATTGAACATACAACAGAGACATTTTTATTTGCTGCATGCGCACTGCACTTGGTCTGATAAAAGGAAATGGAGTCTGTTTTAACTTCACTGTGGAGATATCGCAACGTCTTTATTAACTATGATTTGACGTCGTTGTTCCGTGACCTTAAAAATTTATTGAAATGCATAATTCGGTACACCGTTTCTTAAAATCTGTGTTTTGAGTCAAATTGAAGGGATAGCGAAAGACTTTGGGCTCACCCGAGAGCCTGATCCTTACGCCATTTCCAATTTTCCCACCAAGAATTTCCTACTACTACTGCAATTTTTACTAATAAAATAAGTGCTGTTTGCATTTCCTTTCCCTCCTTGTTACACAAGGACGAGAATAACCTCGTCTTGTCATGTTGTACCTTGCAAAAAATAATTGACGTACATCCACTGGTTAATTTTATCGGTAAGCTGGCGCACCTGCTGCAAGCACAACAAGCCTCCGTGTCCTGCCTGAAATGAGGAATGACCAGCTACCTAGATGATACCTGCAGGGAACTAATTGTTTCTCTTATTGCAAGTAGCAAATGCTTTGGTCGTGTCGGACACCATGCTGTTGAATTGACATAATCAGCCTGAATCCACGCGAATCGCATGTGTGCGAAGGTGCTTGTGCTTTGCAAGTTGATTCGCTCCCAATTCATGATGTCCTTATATATTGCAACCGGTACTTTGCCGCAATTATAATCCGGACTTTCGTCCATACCGACAGTTTTAGGCAACCATTTGATAGACAAAGTACCCACTGACGGGTTGCTTTCAGTCCTTTCCTCCTTCCTCCAAGGTCTGTCCTTTAAAAACAAAGGAGGAAGAGAGGCACTGAGGTGAGGCGGACAGTCCAGTGTTGACAATGGAGAATAAACCACTCCTCCGTTGCGTGTACAGTGAGCACGTGGGTTTCTAATCCACCAACAAATAGATTGTAAGGTCTTAAAGGTCCATTTCTTGCTCATTGCTTTACTTCTCTAATCACAGTTTGGCAACTAATGAGGGAGTTACTCCTATGTCGATTTTCCTTGTGTTGTGCCCAACCAACTCACCATTCACCTCGCTCTCAAAAAGATCACTTTGAGTTTGTGCTGGAGTTCTACAGGAGGAATTACTTTCTGCGGCAATTGGTTCTGCTGAAGGTCACACATTTTTGACTCTGATCACGTGGGCACACAGCGTAACTTCTTTCTGCCAAATGGCTGGGATGGTTGCAACTAGTTAAATGATATATAAATGTCTTAAAATTGGAAAAACGCAACCTCACACCTCAAATCGCTGGTTCAGTCGCTCATGGGAATATGTTCCACTCGATCTACGGCTAGAAGAGAGAGGGATGGGAGGCAGGCGGTACTGTCCATTCCCATCCCATCCGCCTGTATCTCATCATCCTCTTCGATCTTTACCCAAATCAGCGATTGTAACTGTGTTCTTCTGCTGGTGTATTTTTGCAGTCAGGATGGACAGCTGAGAGGTGCATGGAGAAGTATAGTCAGAGGTGAGCAAAGCAAAGTCTTTTGTCCCTCCCTTCTGCTTGCTGGAGATGTGTAAGCCCACAAAATTGTCATTCCATCCCCATGAATTCCTTTCTTCCTATTATTCTAAACTTTTTATAATTAACTCTACTGCTGGTTCCTCCTTTTAATTGGTCAGTGGGGTATGAGGTTTGCACTTCGAGTGCGCTGTGCTATCTACGGGTAGGGCTGCAGCAAATCAAATCAGCGTAAGACAGGATAAAATGGGG